AAAAAAACCACACAACAGATACTGGAACAGATACTAGGAATTAGGCCGGGAATAATGCCAGACTCTTGAATTGAAAATTCTCTCTACAACCGTTGGCAAAAACCTCATCCAGGTGACACACCGCGTGGTATGAGCCTCTTCCAGCGTGTGCAGTTTGCTCATCCTTCAGACTCTTCATCGCTTTAATATGCATATTTTTAAATGCATCACTCTATTTAATTCTGACTGTATAGAAAACACCCGAAGAGTTTAAATTCAACCTGTAGCTGGGCTTTTGCTAAGCTCGTGCTTACAGGATGCTAATACTACTGTTTTAAATGACAGTGAATGATTTCCTATATACCATTATTTGTTATCTTACCACTGAATTCCCATACTGTTTTACATCCCATATTATTGTATCCTAGTTCTTATATGTAGGCTTGATATTTGGATTATATCATAAATTATAAATAAAGAATCATAAATCAGTACAGAGATGTACGTTGGAATGCACTAATAGCTATGAACTTCTTCTTAAAGGATGCTGTTGTTTAAGGATTGTAGTTTAACAGATTAGCAGCTTTTAGAAAACTTGGGTTGTACGTATTAACAGTTATTTATTTTGATGCTTGATAAGGAATCTTGGCTCTAAATAAATACACAATCCCAAAAATGTGGTGAAAAAACAAACAAACAAACACACAAGATGCTGGATTTCACCTTTCATAACATCAGCTGAAATTTGCTTGTCCAGCTGATCCTAGCCTGGTCACTTTTGTCTTGTGTTTGGGCCTAACTGATTCAGTTTAATGTGATTAAATACTCCCGTCAGTTTTGTTGGTTCACACAACAATCCTTTGCACATTCATATTTCTGTAAAGTTTCAGTTCCATGTTGGAGTCTATGAGGCCTGACTGGAGATGAATCTTTCTCCAAACTGCTAATGTTACTAAAGCATATCAGCATGCCCCGTCATCGCACACATTGTTTTGTTTTTTCCCCTCGGTGTGTGTGTTATGTTTTGCTGTCACCCATTAATTTTGAAATGCCAGCCCTGGTGCTGACTATCCTGTGTGACTGACTCATTGTTGATGGAACTGCATGTTCCACACATCTCTGCATGCATATTAATGCCTCTTTGTTGCAGAGCTTC